AAATGCACAGTGCTCAAATCTTCTGCCAACTCCATGGGATGGCAGTCTCTTAGGCCAATGTTGGTACAAGATAGGGATCGTGATATGTATATAGATTGATAGTTTTACTATTTTAATCTAAAAAAAAATATTTTTTTTCTATGGTTATATGTGTGCGTGTGTGTGTGAGAACAAGAGAGGGCACATAGGAGAATGGCAGGGAGAGAATGAATTGCGATGATAGGAAACTTTCAGTGAGGCTGCTTTTGGTGCCAACAGATGACGGAGTATTTTCACTACTGCTGTCATCACACTGGTTAAAATATTGTTAGAAAGTTTCCAGGAGAATATGTTAAACTCAGGCAAGTCTTCAGGGAACCATTGTTAGTAATTTCCAAACTGATCAATGCAATACAAGATTGATTTCAAAAGAACTAAATTTGCCGAAAAAAAAATATTGGGGAGTTTGGAACAAATGTATGATCTGCAAATTACAATGTCCAAATTATTTTGTCACACGACACATTGCCTACATTACTAAACCACAGCTGCAACATATGGTTGCTAAGTCGTCCAAATTTCTGCCTGGTAACTGCTCTTATGGATTTCTTCATTCACAGATTTTTTTTGAAGGAACAAAAATCGACTGTGTGCACAATGAATGCAGCAGCAGGCAGGCTGGGCCAAGACTGAAGGCTATATTGAATGCACAAAGTGGACAAGTTGAGCTGCAATCGAATATTACTGGATCACGGTCAAACAATGACAAGAAAAAGGCAACTGGGCCTATATAGGTAGCGTACCTATACCCGTAACTCTGGGCCAGACTAAAAATAACCCTTGGAAGAAGTGTGCTTTATTGTTATAAAAACTGACGTGGTTCTATTACACGTCTAATGGAGTTTACTGCCTCCATCCCTTACTTCAGCTCTAGTGATAGGCACAACAGAGACTGTGCCATGGGATACTTGGTAAGCAGCTTGAAGCTGCAGGTGAAGGAACTGGACAGGGACACACACAACAGATCAAGCAGATTGATTTGGCACGCTGGCTAGAATGGCCCTGACGGGGTTGTGGAGTGACACTGTTCAAAAACAAATCAGGTATTTTTTAATATATATACGTAACATATCTATATTCACCATCCACACCACCAGTTAAGAAATACCCTTCCCCTTGAGCATCAATCTCAATTTTTCTAACTCACTCCAAGATATGTACTGGGAGCACAATAAGGTTAATATCCATGTACCTTTTCCTACGAACGCCACAGTCTTTGGTATTGCTCCAGGTATTGGTATTTAGCAAACTTTCCCCAGTGGATTTAGATAGAACTGTAATGCAATTTTCAATTTATTTTGAAATTCAGGATCCAAAGCTACTTATGTTAAAATTGCATTCATTATTCCTAACGGCAGAGAGACATTTTGCGAACACTTTCACTGAATGGAGTAATATACAGGTTGGAGTAAATATACAAGTCAAGGAACAACACACTGGTTGGAACTGAATAACCCCAGAAGTGACTTGCAAGATGTTGTGTCAGTTCAACAGTGATCTGTTAAAATCTGCAAGAACCCACGACTTTTGTAACTTATAAAGCATTTTGCCCCCCCAAATCTTAAAAAGCTAATTTTAAAAAAAAACTTGTAATTTTCTTTCCTAACACTTTTTAATGATATAAACGTAAATGTTGTGTTGCCGTACCCTTTAGAGGCTGAATCAACCATTTGGCAGTACAAACCGAGGTTCTACACGCCTCAATTCTGAGACTCTGCGCACTGTGAAAGTGCACCGAGCAGAGCGGGTGGGGGTGGACACACACACACCCACACACACGCACACAAAGTGATGGGGGGAAAAATGGGGACCCGCTACTAATTTATTTACACTACCAAGGCTGTGCAAACAATAAGACCCAACTTTCGCCCACAAAATACACAGTCAATCCACTTTACAGCATATCCTGTGAAGATGTCTCAGCAACGTGATAAGCCGGTATATCAAATGCAAAGATTATCATTATTATTATTATTAATAACCTAACGTAATGGTTCAATTCGGCGAGTTAGTGCATGGAAATACATTTAAGATTAAAGTGGCTCACTGTGAATTCAAGACTCTCAGATATACACACACACACACACCCATATGGGCTCAACACACCATAATGTCTCTATCCCTCTCCCCCGCACAGTTAGTGATCAACTTTTAAAGTTTAAAACTCAGCGACACCAGAGGAATCTGTCGCTCTGCTGTCAGTTCTCTTTTAAGCGAAAGATATACAGCAACATCTCCAAAATGGCATAAACCTAAAGCCCACCTTTACTACTTCCCTCCCCACCTTACATACAAACACCATAAGAGGTGTGGGGGTGGGGGTGTGTGGCGGTGTGTGTGTGTGTGTGTGTGGTGGTGGGGGGGGATTATCAATATCAAGCCCTAACATGGTGTGTGACAAACTGAAGAACACAATTGGAAAACTTTGGGGGTGGTGATGGGGGGGGGGCGGGGGTCCTTCTTTCTCCCTACCACAACTTCTTCTCCAAAAAAAATAAGAGAGACTACACCCAGACCATGTTTACAGCCAGCCAGGCAGCCAGGCAGGCAGGAAAGGCAAGCCAGCCAGCCAGCCTTGCCTTTATACGCCTAATAATAATCCCTCCAAAACCAAAAACAATAATAAATTGGTCATTTTCAATCTACGACTGTTTGTGGGACATTGCTGTGCGCAATTGGCTGCCGCGTTTGCCCACAAATATACAGTCAATTCACTTTACAGTGTGTTCTGTGAAGCGCTTTGGGACGTCCTCCCGACGTGAAAAGCGCTATATCAAATGCAAGGATTATTATTATTATTATTATTATTATTGCCTCTCCCCCCTCTCTCTCTCTCTCTGTGTGTAGTGTGTGTGTGTATGTTCTCTCAGTGGGTCCCCCACCCCACAGCCCCCACACCTGGCCAGTCACTGTGACCACCACTGTGTCCCCACCCCAACCCCCCCAGGTTGACAGCTGGTGGGTACCACCCACAGCCACTGCCACAGCCACAGGCACTGCCACAGCCACTGCCACAGGCACTGCCATTGCCACAGCCACTGCCACAGCCATAGCCACTGCCACAGGCACTGCCACAGCCACTGCCATTGCCACAGCCACTGCCATAGCCACAACCACTGCCATAGCCACTGCCACAGCCACTGCCACAGCCACTGCCATAGCCACTGCCACAGCCACTGCCACAGCCACAGCCACAGCCACTGCCACAGGCACTGCCACAGGCACTGCCACAGGCACTGCCATAGCCACAACCACTGCCATAGCCACTGCCACAGCCACTGCCACAGCCACTGCCACTGCCACAGCCACTGCCACAGCCACAGCCATAGCCACTGCCATAGCCACTGCCATAGCCACAGCCACAGCCACTGCCATAGCCACTGCCACAGGCACTGCCACTGCCACAGGCACTGCCATAGCCATAGCCACTGCCACAGCCACTGCCACAGCCACTGCCACAGCCACTGCCACAGCCACTGCCACAGCCACTGCCATAGCCACTGCCACAGCCACTGCCACAGCCACTGCCACAGCCACTGCCACAGCCACTGCCATAGCCACTGCCACTGGCACTGCCATAGCCACTGCCATAGCCACTGCCATAGCCACAGCCACTGCCATAGCCACAGCCACTGCCATAGCCACAGCCACTGCCACTGCCACAGCCACAGGCACTGCCATAGCCACAGCCACAGCCACTGCCACTGCCACTGCCATAGCCACAGCCACTGCCATAGCCACAGCCACTGCCATAGCCACTGCCACTGCCACAGCCACTGCCATAGCCACAGCCACTGCCATAGCCACAGCCACAGCCACTGCTATAGCCACTGCCACTGCCATAGCCACTGCCACAGCCACTGCCACTGCCATAGCCACTGGCACTGCCACAGGCATTGCCACAGCCACTGCCATAGCCACTGCCATAGCCACTGCCACAGCCACAGGCACTGCCACAGGCACTGCCATAGCCACTGCCACAGCCACTGCCACTGCCACAGCCACTGCCACAGCCACAGCCATAGCCACTGCCACAGCCACTGCCACTGCCACAGGCACTGCCACTGCCACAGGCACTGCCATAGCCATAGCCACTGCCACAGCCACTGCCACAGGCACTGCCACAGCCACTGCCACAGCCACTGCCACAGCCACTGTCATAGCCACTGCCACAGCCACTGCCACAGCCACTGTCACAGCCACTGCCACAGCCACTGCCATAGCCACTGCCACTACCACTGCCATAGCCACTGCCATAGCCACTGCCATAGCCACTGCCACAGCCACTGCCATAGCCACAGCCACTGCCACTGCCACAGCCACAGGCACTGCCATAGCCACAGCCACAGCCACTGCCACTGCCACTGCCATAGCCACAGCCACTGCCATAGCCACAGCCACTGCCATAGCCACTGCCACTGCCACAGCCACTGCCATAGCCACAGCCACTGCCATAGCCACAGCCACAGCCACTGCTATAGCCACTGCCACTGCCATAGCCACTGCCACAGCCACTGCCACTGCCACAGGCACTGCCATAGCCATAGCCACTGCCATAGCCACTGCCACTGCCACAGGCACTGCCATAGCCATAGCCACTGCCATAGCCACTGCCACAGCCACAGCCACAGGCACTGCCATAGCCACTGCCACAGCCACAGGCACTGCCACAGCCACTGCCACAGGCACTGCCACTGCCACAGCCATAGCCACTGCCACAGCCATTGCGCTCTGAGCGCTCAGATGCGCTTCGTACCCAAGACGCACTCACTCACTGCGCTCCACTCACTCCCTCCCCTCACTCCCTCACTCCCATCACTCCCTCCCTCCACTCCATCACTCCATCACTCCCTCCCTCCCCTCACTCCCATCACTCCATCACTCCCCTCCCCCCCCCCCTCCCTCCCCCCCCGCACAGTGCCTGAGGTGCTGCGGGCGGCCCCGGGGGCTGTGGCACTTACCGGACTCCGGGAAGTAGGGAAATCCCGGGGCTGTGACAATCCCGAGCACAGCCAAAACCCAACAGCTGCTCATTAATCCCATGTTCCGTCAGGATTCACCGCTTCCCAAATCACACACTGTGGGGGGGACACACACACACACACTGTGGGGTGGGGGACACACACACTGTGAGGGGGGGGGGGACACACACTGTGGGGGGAAACACACACTGAGGGTGGGGGGGAGGGGACACACACACTGTGGGGGTGAGGGGGGGACACACTGCTGGTGGTGGTGGTCAAAAAAATAAAAATGTGCGTTATTTTTTTTGTGTGTGTGTGTCTGTCTGTGTGTCTCTGTGTGTGTGTCTCTCTGTGTGTCTCTATGTGTGTGTGTCTGTCTCTCTGTGTGTCTGTGTGTGTGTGTCTCTGTGTGTGTGTGTGTGTCTGTCTCTGTGTGTGTGTCTGTGTGTGTGTGTGTCTGTGTGTGTGTGTCTCTGTGTGTGTCTGTGTGTCTTCTCTCTCTCTCTCTCTCCCACCACTCGAAAAGAATCTACAGCAGTTTCACATGAAGCGAGTTTCGAGTCTCTTTCTCAATCTCCAGTGCTCCTGTCTGTCTGTCTGTCTCTCTGTGTGTGTGTCTCTGTGTGTGTGTCTGTCTCTGTGTGTGTGTGTGTGTGTGTCTGTCTCTGTGTGTGTGTGTGTCTGTCTCTCTGTGTGTGTGTCTGTCTCTGTGTGTGTGTCTGTCTCTGTGTCTGTCTCTGTGTGTGTCTGTCTCTGTGTGTGTGTGTGTGTGTCTGTCTCTGTGTGTGTGTGTGTGTGTCTGTCTCTGTGTGTGTGTGTGTCTGTCTCTGTGTGTGTGTCTGTCTCTGTGTGTGTGTGTCTGTGTGTGTGTCTGTCTCTGTGTGTGTGTGTGAGTGAGTCAGACAGCCTCAGTGACTCATTGCTTTATGTACTTCAGAGGAAACAGGAAACTTCAAATTCATAAGGAGGGCAGGACTTTTAAACCCCCCCCCCAAAAAAAAAATCTCTAGCCAATCGTCAGTCTGCCTGAGGCGGGCAAAATGTAATTTATATATATATAAAAAAAGCAGAAACCACACACACACACCACACACACACAGTGAAGAGTTTGTAAAAGCAGCTCAACATTGCAGGGCAACTAGAAAGGGGGGGGGGGGGGGAGAGATCAGTTGTATCACAGCAAAACATTTGTCTCAACAGCCAGAGCCTGGCTCTGCCAGAAGGTGAAATTGATCTTAATACAGGGAGGAGAAACTGCTCTCTGAATAGCTCTGAAGCTCCCAGATCTGAAGGAGAACTCAATCGACTGTGGCAACGCAAAGCCACACGACAATTTTGTGTTTTGGCCCACAGAACGTACAGTCCGTTCACACTGCAGCATATTCCGCGAAGCGCTTTGAGACGTCTCGAAGACGTGATAAGGCACGATGTCAAATGCAAGGGTCATTGTTGTTCTTATAAAGGGTTAGGGTCATTATGCTGTGCGCAATTGGCTGCCGCGTTCGCCCACAAATATACAGTCAATTCACTTTACAGTGTGTTCTGTGAAGCGCTTTGGGACGTCCTCCCGACGTGAAAAGCGCTATATCAAATGCAAGGATTATTATTATTATTATTATTATAAAGCGCTCTTTATGAAGGTTGTGTCTTGGAACGCTTGACAGGTTTCATGCAAAGTAACTGTTTGGTAGCTGTGTATTTGCTCAGCCAGAGGGAGGTGTGCCACTGGAGTCGGACTGTTGAAATTAACAGAATAAGGCATTGCAACTTGGTTCGTGTTCTCTCAGGACGTGTTTGTAACCCTCCTCTCCACCCCTCCCCCCCCATAAAAAAAGCATGAATTGCTGGAAATCCTTAGCAGGTTGGTCGGCATCTTAACAATGAGTTTATATTTCAGGTTTTAGCCTCCCATCAGAACTGTACCTCTGTGCTGGAGAGACAGTCCGCCCATGGAGAGTTAGTGTTGCCTTTGATCGCCCAATGGCAACATGAAGCCACACAACAACAACCCACATTTATATAGTGCCCTTCATGAGGGGGAGTATCTTGGAACGCTTAACAGAACAGAAAGTTGCTTTTCCCAGTCTGGTCAAATCGCAGTCTGTGGTTAGTTTGTTGATTTCAGCCGGAGAATCTGTAATTTGCTCCGGGTTTCCCTCACTAACTCCTGGACTAAATACTACTACTAATACTAATAATAATCCTTGCATTTGATGTAACGCTTCATCACGTGGTTGAGACGTCTCAAAGCGCTTCACAGAATATGCTGTGAAGTGAATTGTATTTTGTGGCAGCCAATTGCGATTAAGTGACAAAATCATTTTTCTCGAAGGGATTATTGCCCCCAGAAAGCTTCGGGGGCGGGGATGGGGGTGGGGGTTTGGGAGGTGGGTCACACTGCTGACGTGATGGGTGTAAATTGGCCTGAGTTGCTTAACACTGACCCCTACTGGAAAAGTGCATATATGGGATGTCAGGTCAGGAGATGATTGAGTTCTCCCTCTTACACATGCGAATGAGCTGCCAGCACAGAGAAACAGCCACTTACTTAGGTGTCCAGGGAAATGCACCACAGCAAAGGCTTGATGTCCACAGAATTGGAGGAAGCCAGAAAATTAGTTTGAAATACAATTTACATTTACGTAGATAGCGTCTTCCACATCAGGAGGATGTCTCAATGTGTGTATAATTATAATTGAATCTTCAGTGCCACCTGAGACTGTTACAGAGGAAGGACAGTGATAAACGTGATCAAATGAAAGGCAGCGGAAAGAGATTGACTTCCTTACCAAAGAACACCTGCTTGCCTGAAAAGGTGGCGGAAGCCGATTTGATAACAACTTCTAAGAGAGAAGCAGATAATTATTTGGGGAGGACAAGTTTGCAGGGCTATGGGGAGGGATCGGGGGAGTGGGATTCACTTAGACAGCTCTTTTCAAAGAGCTGGCACAGACACGATGGGCCGAATGGCCTCCTTCTGTGCTGTAAAATTCTATGATTCTATGAACACAGCACAAGACTTAACAAACTGTGTTCGGACAACTTCACAGACTTGAGGAGGAAAGCTTGATGGGTGGTTTGCCAATCTTACCTGAATCCCCAAATCTATACATTCCCAATTGGAAAGGCATCCTGATATGTGTTATTCTGTTCAATTCTTAACAATTATTCTGTAATGTTTTTGTTCCTGTTCTTTAAAATTGGAGGTAAAGCTGTCGTGTAGAACAATCAAGAGATGGAACACACCATTGACATACTATGTCAGCTACTTTCAGTTGATAGCCCACTCGCCTCTGAGTCAGAAGTTGTGGGCTCTGGTCCCGTGCTGGAACTTTGAACTCATATAGTCGAAGATGACACTCCAATGCATTGCTGGAGGTGCCATTTTCAGATGAGACGTTAAACCGACGTCCCACCTGCCTGTTCAGGTGGATGTTAAAGATTCCACGACACAATCCGAAAAGAGAAGAGAATTACTTTTGGTGTCCTGGCCAACAATCCAACAAATAAAATTGGTCATTCACTTCACGGCTGTTTGTACGACATTATCTGCAGTATTTTCCCGCAAAACCCATAGTCACTCTGCTTTACAGTGTATCCTGTGGATCACTTTGAGACACCCTCCTGACATGAAAGGCACTACACCAGACGGAAGGATTATTATTTATTATTACTGACTAGTGTATTGAGGTGATACATGATACAGCACTGTGGAATAGACTTCTAACTGCAAACGTAATACTATGCTTTCTAACTCCTTTCAATAAGGATTTGAAAAAATATCTGTTTAGTAACAGGATTAAAGGTTACCAGAATAAGTATAGCTGAAGGCGATTAAAGACTGCCTTGGAACTTGACGTTTCCTGAGGTGTTGGAACTACTAGCAAGAGTGCAAAGGAAGACAAGCAGCCAACACTGAATAACAAGCTGTGAGGTCAGCGAGATATCCTAGAGGTTTGCTTGGTTTAGATAGGCAAAATGTTGCAGGACTTTCCTTAAGAGGATCAAATAATATGGATTGCAATCAAAACAGGACTCGGTATAAATGGTGTGCGGGAGGAATGGTCATGATAGGCCAAAAGGCATTTCCTGACTGCATGTGTTTCATGTTCTGACACGGCAACGATGGGTTTTCTCACTCTTGGTGCGATTGGCTGTGTGGAGTGTTCTTAAATAAACTGGTCCACTGTCCTCCCTCCTGGTTTGAGATGCTTTTAGGAATTATGGAATAAAATGGTTGTGGTTTGGGGTGAAAAATGCAGCGTTGTCATCAGACACAAAGTGACTCAACAAGGTTAACTTTTGCAATCTTGTTTGAATCGTTGGAATAAAAGGCTTTTTGAAGCTGAGTTTAACTTTACTGAATAGTTTTTTTTGAAAAAAAAGCATTGTCACCCCCAAAAATGATTGGTGGGGGCAGAGAGGCAGAAGAAAGGAAAACTGTCTTTTTAAAGGTAGAATAAAAACAAACGAGTTAGGAAAAAGGACAATTACAGTTTAAAATTATCCGCAGGTCTTGAGAAAAGAGAGAATGCAGAAGTAGAAGCACAAGATGATAAAAGAGAAGACAGGGTGAGCCGAGTTCTTTTTTTACAACAATGTGTATTGATACAATTCTCTTCACACCAGGAGGGAAGTGTCTCGGGGTGCTTTCTGATAGCTTTCCTGACATTTATGTGTCTGCCTGGCTCAATGGTAGGCACTCTCGCTTCTGAGTCAGAAGGTTGTGGTTTCAAGCCCCACATTGGGACTTGAAATCATGTTGTCTAAGCTGACACTCCAATGTAGTGCTGTGGGTGTGTTGCATTGTCAGTGGTGCCATCCTTCGCATGAGATGTTAAACCCATTCTTCCTGTTCAGGTGGACGTTAAGGATCCCGTAGCACTATTTGAAAAGAGTTTCTCACGAGGTACCAGCCAACAAACCTCCAAATAAAATATCCCTTGAAAGGCGCTATACCGAATGCAAGGATTATTAATATTATTTTCAATTCTTCTATTGCTATGATGCTCGTGCTTTATTTCACCATGACATTTGATTTGTGAACTGTAAAGGTAAAATTCACCCGGCACAGGGAAATAGTCTGGTCTCTGAACTTGCCAGTCATCAAAGGGTTCTTTGTATTTCTAACCCTC